TCCACCTGAGACCTCACCAGAATCACCTTTAATGTCTACATTCCTACCGATAGTCTTTTTAAGGCAATATAGGCTTTCTCTAACACGCACTTCAAACTTCTTCTAGATTCTACCCATTATGCAATTCCAAAGCCACTTCCACATTTTTAGGTATTTGTTACATCAACACCTCATTTCTGGTGCCCAAATCTGCATTGGTTTGCTAGGGTTGCCATAACAAAGTACTGCGGTCTGGGTAAACAACAGATTTTTATATTCTCAAAATTCTGGAGTTTGGAAGTCCAAGGTCAAGGCATTGCTAGGTTTAGTTTCTCCTGAAGCCTCTCTCCTTGGCTAGCAGATGGCCGCCTTTTTGCTGTGTCCTCACATGGCTTTTTCTGTGTGTGTTCACTCTGGTGTCTCTTCCTCTTCCTATAAGGACACCAGTCCTACTGGATTAGGGACCCAGCCTTACTACTTCATTTAACCATAATTACCTCTTTAAAGATCTTATCTCAAAATACAGTACCATTGGAGATGAGGGCTTCAACATATGAATTTTGGGGGAATTCAATTCGTCCATAATAGGGCTATAATGAATTAAGCTGCTGTGAACATTCATGTACAAGTCTGTGTGTGGATATGTTTTCATTTCTTTTAGATAAAGATCTAGGAGGATCAACCTGGGCAACAAAGTGAGACCTCATCTTTACAAAAAATTTTCAAAATTAACCAGGCATGGTGGTGTACACATGTAGCCCTGGCATCTCAGGAGGCTGAGGTGGGTGGATCCTTTGAGCCCAGGAGTTTTAGGCTGCAGTGAGCTATGATTGTGCCACTGCACCCCAGCCTGGGTGACAGAGTGAGACTCTGTCTCTAAAGAAAGAGAGAGGGAGGAGGAAAGAAGACAGAGAGGGAGGGAGGGAGGGAGAAGGAAAATGGATCTAGGAGTAGGATTTAGGAGATTAGGTAATGAATGTGTACTATTACAGGGACCTGTCGAGCTGTTTCCAAAGTGACTGTACCATCATTCATTGCCACCAACAATACATGAGAGTTCTAGTTACTCCATGTGCTTGTTAACACTTAGTATTTTTTCATTTTAACCATTCTAGTGAGTATGCAGTAGTACTTTTTTATGGCTTTAATTTATAACTCCCTAATGATGAATGATGTTGAACATCTTTTCATGTGCTTATTGGCCATTTATACATGTTTTGTAAAGTGACTATTCAAATATTTTGTCCACTTTTTATTAGGTCACTTGTTTTCTTATTATTGAGTTATCTATTAATATAAATCCTTTATCAGTGTATGTATTGTGATTTTTTTTTTCCCCAGTGACTGGCCTTTTCATTTTCTTTGGGCTTTTTTGGTGGATTTTTTTTTTGGAGGAAAGAAATATTTTAATTTGATAAAATCCAGTTTATCAGGTGATATAGACAGAATTATACCCTACCCCACAAATTCATATGTTGAAGCCCTAACCTCTAAGTGACTATTTGGAGATGAGTCTTTAAGGAGGTAATTAAAGTAAAATGAGATCATAAGGGTGGGCCCTAACCTAATAGGGCTGATGTCTTTATAAGAAGAGGAAGACACCAGGAGTGCACACACACAGAAGAACGGCCATGTGAGAACAGAGCAAGGAGATGGCCATGTGAGGACAGAGCCAGAAGACAGCCGTCTGCAAGCCAAGGAGAGGGAAACCAAACCTGCTGATGCCTTGATCTTGGACTTCCAGCCTCCAGATTTCTGTTGCTGAAGCCACCCTGCCTCTGGTGTTTTACCATGGCAGCCCTTGCAGGCTAATATATTAGATTTTTTTCCTTCAACAGTTAACGCTTTTGGTGGCCTAAGGAATATTCACCTGACCCAGGGTAAAGAAGATTATTCTTCTATGCTTTCTTCTGGAAGTTTTATAATTTTAGCTTTTATATATGTTTTTAACTTTCCTTCTTCTTGCCTTCTGTTTCTTTTAAGGCATCATCTATTGTGTTAATTTGTTCTTGTATTCTTTCTGATTTATTCTTCACTTCTGAAATGAGTGTTGCTTTTGTGAAACATGTATAATTCTTTTCTGTGTCTGAGTTTTCCTAATTAGGTTTTACATTGTTCTTTCACATCCTGTATCACTTTTTACTGTCTTTTAGCCCATTTTGAAGTATCAGGGTTCCAGTTTTGATCTGTTCATGGATATGTTTTTGTGACATGTTTCTTCTGGCTTCTTATCATTTATTGCTTACGTTATGAATTTCTATTCTTTCTTATTTTCTATTATAAGTATTTAAAACTATAGGTTTTCCTCTAAGTATTACTTAGCTGTATTATATGTTTTTATTTGTATTATTTGGTGATCATTCACTTTCAGCTATTTATTAATTTCCATTATAATTCTTTCTTTCTTCTATAAGTTGTTTTAAAAAATATTTTTAAGGCCAGGTGTGGTGACTCACATCTGTAATCCCAGCACTTAGGGAGGGTAAGGTGGGAGGATTGCTTGAGGTCAGAAGTTTGAGACCAACCTAGGCAACAAAGTGAGACCCCATCTCTACAGAACATTTTTAAATATTAGCTGGGCCAGGCGTGGTGGCTCATCCCAGCACCGGTAATACCAGCACTTTGGGAGGCCCAGGCAGATGGATCACCTGAGGTCAGGAGTTCAAGACCCGCCTAGGCAACATGGTAAAACCCTCTCTCTACTAAAATACAAAAATTAGCCAGGTGTGGTGAGAGCTGCCTATAATCCCAGCTACTTGGGAGACTAAGACAGGAGAATTCCTTGAACCCAGGAGGAGGAGTTTGCAGTGAGCCGAGATTGCACCACTGCACTCCAGCCTGGGTGACATAGTGAGACTCTGTCTCAAAAAAGAAAAGAAAAGAAAATTAGCCGGGTGTAATGGCATGTACCTGTGGTCCCAGTGACTCAGAGGCTGAGGCAGGAGGATCACCTGAGCCCCAGGAGTAGAGGCTGCAGTGAGCTATGTTTGTGCCACTGCACTCCAGCCTGTGCAACAGAGCAAGACCCTGTCTCAAAATATATATATTTTTTTCAATTTCTAAACTTCCCTTAGTTCTCTTTTGTTACTAACTTTTAACTGGATTTTTTGCAGAGGAAATACTTTATGAGATACCTATTCTTTAAAATTAAAGTGATTCTCCTGCCTCAACCTCCCGAGTAGCTGGGATTACAGGCCAGCGTCACCACACCTGGCTATTAAAATACCTATTCCTTAAAATTTCTTAAGAATTGCTTTGTGTTAATATTTTGTTAATAGTTCACATGTGGTTCAATCAATTTGTTTATTAGTTCTGTATATGTTCATTAGATGAACTCGATAACTGTGTTGTTCTTTATTTATTTATGTATTTATTTTCTTTGTCTATTCATCAATTACTGGGTGAGAGGTATTAAAATTTCTTGTTGTAAGTGTGGCTGTTCACTTTCTACCTGTCGTTTGTCTATGTGTGCTTTATAGAGGGTGAAGCTGTTTAGTAGGCACACATAAGCTAGAATTTTTCTGTCTTCCTGGTGAATGGAATCGTTTATCATTATCTAATGATTCTTTTCATCTTTAGCATTGCTTTGGACTTCGAAGTCTGTATTTTCTCTGCTGTTAACACAACTACACTGGTTCCTTTGGTGTGAATATTTGCACAGTATAACATTTTCCATGAAGAAACAAAACAGAGGAATTGGTTCTTTCTCAAAATCTGTTCTTCGTGCCAGCCCCCATCTCAGCCTTCTCCACTCACCCTCGGTCACTCTCCAAACCCAGGAGCAGTCCTTGATTCTCCTTTTCCTCACAGTCTACATCCAATCCATTAGCAAGTTCTATTAGTTCTATTATCACCTCCAAAATAGATCCTGAATCCAGCCCTTTCTCACTGTCTCAACTGTCATCCTGTCTCACACTCCTGCTGTGGCCTCCTTGCTGGTTGACCAGAGTGATCTTGTAAAAACATGTTAGGCCAGGCACGGTGGTTCATGCCTGTAATCCCAACACTTTGGGAGGCCAAGGCGGGTGGGTCACCTGAGGTCAGGAGTTGGAGACCAGCCTAGTCAACATGGCGAAACCCTGTCTCTACTAAAAATACAAAATTAGCCAGGTGTGGTGGCGCTGGCCTGTAATCCCAGCTACTCGGGAGGTTGAGGCAGGAGAATCACTTGAACCCAGGAGACGGAGGTTGCAGTCAGCCAAGATCATGCCACTGCACGCAAGCCTGGGCAGCAAAGCAAGACTGCATCTCAAAAACTAAAAAATAAAATAAAATAAAAATAAAATGTTAGGCTCCCTGGGTGTCTGGCTTAGTCCATTTGTACTGCTTTAACAAAATACCTTAGAATGGGGTAATTCTAATCATTACTATTAATGAATAATAGCAATTTACTTCTCACAGTTCTAGAGGCTGGGAAGTTCAGGGTCAAGGTGGCACCTGACTCCGTTCTGGTCAGAGCTGCTTTCTGCTTCCAGGACGGTGCCTTCTCACTGCATCTTCACATGGTGGAAGGGCAAACGCTGTGTCCTCACGTGACAAAAGAGATAGAAGGGCCAGGCAGCTCTCTGAAGCCTCCAGGTTGGAGTCATGAACCTGCATGTTCCCCTCTGACATCCACAGAGTACCCATCATGGTCTTTGGCATGCAGTAGGTGGCCCATAAACGCCTGAATGAACAAACATATAGTAATGGCCGCTAGTACTGGGAATAGCAGCCACCGCAACAGCCCTGTGAGGGAAGCATTACAGATGAGGAAACTGAGGCTTAGGAGCAGGGACCTCCCCATGGTCCCAAAGCTAGGGAGAGACAGGGCTGGGATTTCCACTCCCATCCATCTGGCTCCAGAACCTGAGCTCTTGACCAGGCTGTTCTTATCCTGTCTCAGCCGGTGGTTGCCTGTCTGGACGGATGGACCTAAAGTCAGTCCAGCCAAACGGAGGAACGTGTGATCACCTGTTCTCTAAATTCCCTGACCCTGAGAGGCTGAATCCATGGCCCAAGCTCTCCTGTCTCCTCCCCAGCTCTCCCACCCCCAGACGGTGGCGCAAAGTGGAAGAGTGTGCAGGAACCAAGGAGCTGCTGTGTTCTATGATGTGCCTGAAGAAACAGGACCTGTACAACAAGTTCAAGGGGCGCGTGCAGACGGTTTCTCCCAGCTCCAAGTCCCCCTGGGTGGAGTCCGAATATGTAGATTACCTTTTTGAAGGTAGGTCTGTGGGTAAGGGACTGAGTGGGAGACTCTCCATCCCATCCAGGAGCTGTGCTCAGTGGTACTGTTCTCCTGACTCTCTGTCTCCCACTTCCCCAAAGCAGAGGGCAGCTCCCTGGGGCCAGCCCCTTTGAGATGGGGCATGGGACCAGCAACCGCCCGGGGCCATGTCTGGTAGCCTGTCAGGGAGTTAGGGGAGCTCCAGCGTGCACCCTCTGCTAACAATGTTCATTATCTTCAGTTGAGCACCATTTCGGTCATGGACTACACAAGGCACTTTATATGCTTATTCCTATTTTTTATGTTCAACCTCTCTCCTTAAAAACAATGTTTAAAACAAATTCTGGGCCGGGCGTGGTGGTTCATGCCTGTAATCCCAGCACTTTGGGAGGCTGAGGCAGGTGGATCACCTGAGGTCAGGAGTTTGAGACCACCCTGTCCAACATGGCAAAACCTCATCTCTACTAAATATATAAAAATTAGCCGGACTTGGTGGTGGGTGCCTGTAATCCCAGCTACTCGGGAGGCTGGGGCAGGAGAATTGCTTGAACCCAGGAGGCGGAAGTTGCAGTGAGTCAAGATCACGCCACTGCACTCCAGCTTGGGCGACGGAGCGTCTCAAAAGAAAAAATTAAAGAAACAAACAAAAAACAAATTCTGTTTGCAAAAGTATTTTTTATACACTGCAGAAATGTGGGGGGTTGGGGGGTGGTAAAGATGATGGAAAAAAAGTGTCTCATGCTTACTGGCAGAAATCACCAATTGACATTGGGTGAGGACAGCACCCTTTTTTTTCAGTCTATTTTTAATCTTTAAACTTGTGAGGTTCATTTCCATCAACCCAAGACTCACAGACGCTAAGAAACTTGACACCGCTAGTAACCGGTGGACATAGATATGAACTGGAGCTTTCTGACCTTGGGCAGGGCCGGGTAACAAGCGGAGGATAAATGCCCTGACAGTGTCCTCAGAGAGCTGAGAGCTGTAACTTGCTGCCCAGGCTTCTCACAATGTTCAAGGACAAAATAAGGCTTCAAGAGAGAAGAGGGACGGACTGACTACAGGGCAGCAGGAAAATATGGTAGAGAAGGAAGAAGAGATGATTCATGTGGAAAGAAGCTGACTCGGTGGATGGATAAAAGGAGGGAAGGATAGATGGATAAGAAGAAAGGGAGGATGGAGAGGATGGAGGAGGAAGCGATGGAAAAATGGGAAGGAAGGAGGTTGGATGGAAGGATGGATGCCTTTTAGGAAGAAAATATGGGTGGATGGAGAGATGGAGGATAGGAAGTATGTTAGTCAAGGTTCTCCAGAGAAACCGAACCAATAGGATATATATAGATACAATAAGAGGAGGCCAGCCATGGTGGCTCACACCTGTAATCAGAGCACTTTGGGAGGCTGAGGCGGATGGATCCTTTGAGGTCAGGAGTTCAAGACCAGCCTGGCCAACATGGTGAAACCCCGTCTCTACTAAAAATACAAAAATTTCCCAGGTGTGGTGGCACACACCTGTAGTCCCAGCTACTCAGGAGACTGAGGCAGGAGAATCACTTGAACCTGGGAGGCAGAGGTTGCAGTGAGCTGAGATCATGCCACTGTACTCCAGCCTGGGTGACAGAGCAAGACTTTGTCTCAAAAAAAAAAAAAAATTTATAATAAGAGGAGATTTATTATGGGAATTGGCTCATGCAATTACAGACACAAAAACATCCCCCAATATGCGGTCATGTGCTGGACAACCAAGAAAGCTTGTGGTATGATTCCATCTGAGTCTGAAGCACTGATGTAACCCCTAGTCCAAGACCACAGGCCCGACAATCAGAGGGGCCACTGGTATAAGTCCCAGAGTCCAAATGCCTGAGGACAGGAAGCTCCGATGTCCGAGGACAGGAGAAGCTGATGTGCTAGCTCAGGAAGAGAGCACGTGAACGTGCCATTCCTCCTCTGTTTTTTGTTCTCTTTGGGCCATCAGGGGATTGGATGATGCCTGCCCACACTGGTGAGGACAGATCTTCACCAAATCTACTGATTAAAATGTTAATCTCTTCTGGAAAAATCCTCACAGATGGGCCCAGAAATAATGTTTTACTATCTACCCGGATATCCCTTAGCGCAGTTAAATTGACACATAAAATTAACCATCACAGGCCAAGCACTGTGGCTCACACCTGTAACCCCATCACTTTGGGAGGCCAAGGTGGGAAGATCCCTTGAGGATGAGGTAGGCAGATCCCTTGAGCCCAGGAGTTCAAGACCAGCCTGGGCAACATAGGGAGACCTCATCTCTACAAAATAAATAAATAAATAAATAAATATTTAAATTCGCTGGGTATGGTGGTGTGCACCTGTGGTCCCAGTTGGGAGGCCAAGGTGGGAGGATGACTTGAGCCCAGGAGGTCAGGGCTGCAGTGAGCCATGATTATTCCATTGCACTTCAGTCTGGGTGACAGAGCAACACCCTGTCTTAAAGAAAGAAAAAATTTAACCATAACAGAAGGCAGAAGAAAAGGCAGACGGGTGGATGAGATGGGTGGGTAGATAGTATAGAAGAAAAGTGGAACATCCAAGCAGGGAAGGAAGGGCTGGGGCGAAGGAGAAGTGAGGAAGGAAGGAAGGAGAGACAAGAAGGAAGGATGTGTAGAAAGGTAGGAGAGAAAAGATGAATGGTTGGATGAGAAGAATGGATGAGTAGGTTAGAAGGCTGACTGGCTAGATAAAAGGTGGGAAGTATAAATGAATAATAAGAAAAGAGGCACAGGAAGGAAAAAATATTGGTTAGAAAGGATGATTGAGAAGAAAGGAAGGGTGATTTAGAAGGATGGATGGATGGATGGATGGATGGATGGATGGATGGATGAGAAGGAAAGGAAGGATAACAAGGCAGACGGGAAGGCTGTCTGGCTAGAAGAATGGTAGACAAACCACAATAATCACTGGAAGGGTTAGGAATAAGACATTAGAAGAATACAGGGAAAGACACAAAGAGATTTAAAATGTTTTCATTAATTTTCACGTCCTCCCTGAATTTCTCCTGATTCTTCAGCCCCACATCCCAAGCCAGGGTGACCCTTCCTGCCTTTACACTGCCTCCACAGTTTTCATGTTCTCAGCTGTGGCCCTGATCACTTTCTTTTGGTAGTTTGCATATTTCATTTATCCCAAAGCTTTCAGCTCCTGGAGGTCAGGATACAAGGAGGCCTCGTCTCCCCATTCCCCTCAGCTCCCTTCCCAAAGCTTGATACCTAGTCAGTATCCAATGTTTAGGATGTTTCCTAAACATGTAAGTAATGGCATCATGAAGAAGCCACGTGTTTACCTTGACCACAAACACAGGGCAAAGGTGACTAGTGTGGTCAGAGATCCCTGCTGGCTGGGAATCAGGGAAGGCTACATGGAAGAAGTGGCATTTTAGTTAGAACTTGAAAGGTGTTGTATTTAGTTTTCTCTGGCTGACGTATTCTTTGTCACATTGCCCTCTCCATCTTCAAGCCATTGGGCAAGGCTAGAGGGCCCTCAACAGACTGTCAGTAGGAATGTGGAAGTTAAAGAATCAGAGTGCAGAAAGAAACAAGCTGCATTTTAGAGAAAAGCTAAATCCCCTCCAAGAATACCTCAATCATCATGAACAGCCTGTTAGTAGACACACTGACACTCAAGGCACTGCTTCACAAGGTAAGGAACGCGTTATTGAAAACTCGAGAGAGGGAGAGCCTTGTTCCATACTGGCAGAAAGCTTAGCAGAATTGTGTCCTGCAGTCTTGTGGGAAGCAGATCTTGTAAATGATGAATTTGAATGCTTATCGGAGGAGGTTTCCAAATGAAATGTGGAAGGCACGGCCTGGTTTCTTCCTGCCACTTATAGTAACATGCAAGAGGAAAGAGAGAAAATGAAGGAAGAACTTAAACAGAAAGGAACCAGGACTTGATGATTTGGGAAGTTCTCAACCTATGCAAAAAACAATAAAATTAAGAGATTGTGGCTGGGCGCAGTGGCTCATGCCTATAATCAGTCCGAGGTGAGCAGATCACCTGAGGTCAGGAGTTTGAGACCAGCCTAGCCAATGTGGGGAAACCCCATCTCTACTAAAAATACAAAAATTAGCTGGGTGTGGTGGTGGGCACCTGTAATCCCAGCTACTCAGGAGGCTGAGGTGGGAGGATCACTTGAGCCCAAGAGGTGGAGGTTGCAGTGAGCCAAGATCAGGCCACTGTACTCCAGCCTGGGTGACAGAGCAAGACTCCATCTCAAAAAAAAGAAAAAAAAAAAAGAAAGAGATTGCTCCGAAAAGTGTGACATAGAGAAACAGACAAGTACATTATTGTACCAAACTTCAGGAAGATAAAAGATCAAAGTACTGAGTCACTCAAAAGGCTTTTTGAGGAAATTAAGATTATAACTCACAGTCCCCTTCAATCAAACCAGGGGACTTCTAGGAAGCTGAAGAGCATTGTCCCTCAGCCATCTCAGCTGGAGCCAAAAGTAGAGAAGGGCTTATCTGAAAAAAAGATTTATGCACCTGGCTTTTATCTAATAATGCAGTGGATTCCCCTGTGACATCCATAGGAGATCCATAAAGTTCCTGAGAACTTTACATCCACAGAAACACTGTTATCTTGGGCTAAATGGAACACAGAGCATATGAAATCAAAGAAGGCTGTTGGACTCTCCAGTTTCTACTGGTGAGATGCAGACTGGTAAAACTACTTAGCTGCAAACACCTGCTACCTTTAGTGAAAAGGAAGGATGACCCAGATGGTGAAACCAGAAGCTCAAAGGGCAGTGCTAAGAGCGAAAGAGAATTCTTCCCAAGCCTTGAAACCTAATGGAGTTTTCTTGGCTGGATTTTCATACTGTGTTGGACCATGACCCCATTGTCCCTTCCATTCCACCATACTTAACCAGATTGTCTGCAACTGTTATCCTGTGCCTGTCCCACGTTTTATGTTGGGAACAGATAACTTTAGTTTTTCTGGCCCACAGATGAAGAGAAACTGTGTCCCAGGAGTTGTACTGACTGGACTATGCCCAGAGTCTATTTGACTCTGATTTAGATACTGTTGATTTGGGAATTTGAGTTGATGCTGTAATGAGATGAGACATTGGGGGACATTGGGATGGAGTGAATGGATTTTGCATTTGAAAGAGATGTGGGCCAGGTATGGTGGCTCACGCCTGTAATCCCAGCACTTTGGGAGGCCGAGGCGGGCAGATCAGCTGAGGTTGGAAGTTCAAAACCAGCCTGACCAATATGGAGAAACCCCATCGCTACTAAAAATACAAAATTAGCCAGGCGTGGTGTCACATGCCTATAATCCCAGCTACTCGGGAGGCTGAGGCAGGAGAATTGCTTGAACCTGGGAGGCAGAGGTTGCTGTGAGCTGAGTTCATGCCATTGCACTCCAGCCTGGGCAACAAGAGTGAAACTACATCTCAAAAAAAAAAAAAAAAGAAACAGATGTGGATTTTGGGTGGGGGACAGAGGGAAGACCATGGTAGGCAGAATGATCCTCTAAAGGTGCTCTGCCCTAATCCCCAGAAGCTGAAAATATGTTAGATGTCAGTATTGCACGGCAGTAAGAATCCTTTTTTTTTTTCTTTTTTTTTTGAGATGCAGTCTTGCTCTGTCGCCCAGGCTGGAGTGCAGTAGCCAGATCTCGGCTCACTGCAAACTCTGCCTCCTGGGTTCACACCATTCTCCTGGCTCAGCCTCCCGAGTAGCTGGGACTACAGGTGCCCGCCACCACACCCGGCTAATTGTTTTGTATTTTTAGTAGAGATGGGCTTTCACCATGTTAGCCAGGATGGTCTCAATCTCCTGACTTTGTGATCCATCCACCTCAGCCTCCCAAAGTGCTGGGATTACAGGCGTCAGCCACCGCGCCCGGCCAGCAGTAGGAATCTTAATTAAGGTTATAGACTGCTATGGTTTGAATGTCCCCTCTAAAACTCCTGTTGACATTTAATCATCATTGTGATTGCATTAAGAAGTGGCCCTGTTAAAAGGTGATTTAGTCCTTAATAACTCTGTCCCCATGAATAGATTAATGTCAGTCTTTCGGGAGTGTGTTTATCAAGATGGATTGTTAAAAAGTGAGTTCTGGCCAGGGGCAGTGGCTTATGCCACTCAGCATTTTGGGGGGCCAAGGCTGGTGGGTCACTTGAAGTCAGTTGTTTGAGACCAGCCTGGCCAACACGGTGAAACTCTGTCTCTACTAAAAAATACAAAAACGTATCCAGGAGTGGTGGCAGGCGCCTGTAATCCCAGCTGCTCAGGAGGCTGAAGCAGGAGGATCGCATGAATCCAGGAGGCGGAGGTTGCAATGAGCTGAGATCACCCCATTGTACTCCAGCAGTCTGGATGACAGAGCAAGACTCTGTCTCAAAAAAAAAAAAAAAAAAAAAAAAAAAAAAAAGAAGAAGAAGAAGAAGAAAAGAGAAAAAAAAGAAAAGTGAGTTCTGCCCTCTCTTGCTGGCTTACTCTCACCCTCTCTTGCCTTTCCACCTTCCACCATGGGATAACACAGCACAAAGGCCCTTGCCAGATGCCAGTGCCATGCTCTTTGACTTCCAAGTCTCCAGAAACATGAGCCAAATACATTTCTGTTCATTATAAATTACCCAGCCTGTGATATTCTGAAATAACAACACAGAATGGACTGAGACATAGATCTTCAAATAGGGAGGTTATCCTGGATAATCCAGATGGGCCCAATCTAATCCCATGAGCCTTTAAAACTTTCTCCGGCTGGAGGCAGAAGAGAAGTGGCAGAAGGGGAAGTCAGAGAGATCTGAAGCATAAACAGGATTCCACGGTGCTGTTTCTGGTTTGACGATGGAGTGGTAACGTGATGAAAAATGTGGGTGCCTTCCAGAGCAAGAGGCTCCCACTAACAACCGGCCAGGAAACAGGGACCACAGCCCTACAGCCACAAAGAACTAAGTTTTGCTGACAACCCAAGGGGCCTTGGAAGTGTCTTCACCCCAGTGGTTCCAGATGTGAGACCCAGAGCGGAGGAACCAGCTGAGCCCACCTGGACTTCTGACCTAGATAACTGTGAGATAATAAGTTTGTATCATTTTTAAGCCAATGTGTGTGTGGTAATTTGTTATGGCAGCGATAGGAAATGAATCCAGATGGGCAGAATCTGCCAGGCCAGTGACATGTGGAGGGCACCCAGGCGGACGGGATGGCATGAGAGAAGGCAGGTCAGCAGTGAGCTTGCCTGGGTCACCTCTCATCTCTAATCCTGTTTTCCCCTCTATGAAATGAGAATAGTGGTATCTCCCTCCCAGGGTCACTGCAAGGCTGAAATAACAGATTATAAGGTTCTGGGTGCGCAAGAAGTGTTTGAAACATGCTAGTTGCTTTTCCATTTCCAAGAGAGCTCTCTGGTCTTGTGGGATGGAGGCAGTGCGGCCCCTCGGGATTACTGACAGGTCCTGCTCTGTTTCTGCAGTGGAGCCGGCCCCACCTGTCCTGGTGCTCACCCAGACGGAGGAGATCCTAAGTGCCAATGCCACATACCAGCTGCCCCCCTGCATGCCTCCACTGGATCTGAAGTATGAGGTGGCATTCTGGAAGGACGGGGCCGGAAACAAGGTAGGAAACTCCTTTCCTGCCCCCAGGTTAGGCCCGCTCCTCCACCCCTTCTTACTCAGGTTCTTCTCACCCTCCCAGCCTGCTCCTGCACACCTCCTCCAGGAAGCCTTCCCTGAACACCCCTGACTTCTGGCAGTCAGCCCTAATAAAATCTGGTCAAAGTATGATGACCTACAAGAGGCCTGCTTGCCAAGTCAACAGATTCAGTACAGAAAAACTGAAAAATACAGATAAGCTCTAAGAAGCAAACCAAAAGTACCCGGAGATGACCACACATCACTCTGGTGTATATCCAATTTCAGATTTGTTTTCTGTGTATGCATGTGTGTACAGCTGCATTTATTTATGGCAAGGGCTGGCAGACTTTCCTGAAGAAAGCCAGATAGTGGATATGTTTGGCTTCGTGGGCCTTATGTTCGCTTAGGACTCCTCAACACTGCAGTTGCAGCACAAAAGGAGCTACAGCCTGTATGTAAATGAATGGGCATCGCTGGGTTCCAGTAAGACTGTTTACAGGCTAGGTGTGGTGGCTTAGGCCTGTAATCTCAGTACTTTGGGAGGCCCAGGTGGGAGGATTACCTTAGCCTAGGAGTTCAAGACCAGCCTGGGGAACATGGTGAAACACTGTCTCTACAAAAAAAAAAAAAAAAAAGCTGGGTATGGTGACGCATACTTGTGGTCCCAGCTACTCAGGATGCTGAGGCAGGAGGATCGCTTGAGCTAAGGAAGCGAGGCTACAGTGAGCCATGATCGCGCCACTGCACTTCAGTCTGGGCAACAGAGTGAGACTTTGTCTCAAAAAAACAAAAAATAAAACTTTTTACATAAACAAGTGGCCAGCCAGACTTGGTCCCTGGACCCCTGTTCTTGATTGCTCTTGCTTCCACTACAGCAACATTTACACTCCCGATCTTTTGCATACTCCGGGTTCCAGGGATTATAGATCTGAATCCAGTGTGGTTTCTGCCTTGAAGAACCTCACAAATATTCCAGACCAGCACTGCCCAATAGAAAGAAATATAATGCAAGCCACATGTGCAGTTTTAAGAGTTCCATGTTAGGTAAAAAGAGACAGGTACATTGAATTTTAATAACAGATTTTACTTCATCCAATTGAATGGTATCATTTCAGTGAGCAATTCTGATAAAAGTGATTGAGATCTTTTATATTCTTTTTCTCTACTTCTTTAAAATCTGATGTGTGTTTTGTACTTGGAACATCTGTCAGTGTGGACCAGATGCATTTCACATACTCAGTAGTCACACGTGGCCTGTGCCTTCCATACCAGACAGACATCTGCAGAGGTTTCCTCCACTGCTGATAGACTGGGAGACCCCAAGATGGAAAGCCTGAAGAATCTGCTCCTCAAAGTAGGGACCTTAATGGGGGTGCACACCAGGGTGCCCCCAAGTGGCAGGCTGCTTTTGAACCGTGGCTATCCCTACCCAGAGACTCAGATGAAAAGAACTCAGGTGGTGTTGGGAAGTGCTTCCTCAATGCTTACACTTTAATGCAGGAAAAAAATAGAAGGTTCAGGCAAGGAGGGAGGATCACTTGAGGCTGGGAGTTCGAGACTAGCCTGGGCAACAGCAAGACTTTGTCTGTACAAAAAATAATTTTAAAAAATTACCCAGGTATGGTGGTTGTGAATCTGCAGTCCCTAGCTACTTGGAGAGCTGTGGTAGGAGGATTGCTTGAGCCCAGGAGTTTGAGGCCGCAGTGAGCTGTGATCACACCACTGCACTTTGGCCTGGGTGACAGAGCCAGACCCTATCCCCTACAGAAAAAAAAAAAAAAAAAACCACACCCTACCATGTCTGCCAACCCCACTCTGTCCTGGTTGTGTGAAACCAGTCCCCACAGCAGCTCTGCCACTCTCTGCTTCTTTTCCAAACAGACCCTATTTCCTGTCACTCCCCATGGCCAGCCAGTCCGGATCACCCTCCAGCCAGCTGCCAGCGAACGCCACTGCCTCAGTGCCAGAACTATCTACACCTTCAGTGTCCCGAAATACAGCGAGTTCTCTAAGCCCACGTGCTTCTTGCTGGAGGTTCCAGGTGGGTACCAAGTGGTGCAGAAGGGGGAACTTTCCCTCTGGGCCTGGGGAGCTTTGTGACACAGTGGTTAAGAGCATGGGCCTGGAGATAGACTCGCCGGGATTAAAACCACACTCATTGTGTGTCTTTGGGCAGCTTACATAATGCCCCAAACCTTGGTTTGCACAGTCTGCAGGATAGGTTTATTCTTGTGAGGATTAAATAGGGTAATGTATGTGAAGCACTCAGCACAGGTGCAGTTGTAGGCAAGAGCCATTGTTGTTTCTCTCATTGTTATTTTTCCTTCCTTAGAAGCCAGCTGGGCTTTCCTGGTGCTGCCATCACTTCTGATACTGCTGTTAGTAATTGCCGCAGGGGGTGTGATCTGGAAGAGCCTCATGGGGAACCCCTGGTTTCAGCGGGCAAAGATGCCACGGGCCCTGGTATAGCAAATCTGGGGGTGTGCGGCAGGTGGGGAGGGGTTGAGAGTAAGGGAGTGGGGCTGGAGCTACGAGTTGTTCAGATAGAATATCAAGATGGTCCAGACTCCTGGACCAAAACATCTATCTTTGTGTCTGAATTTCCACCATTAGTAATGCATTCACTTAGCCCTGAATAAAATGGCAAATAGGCCCGGGAGAGAGGAGTGCCTTAAGTTCCTCTGAGATAAATAACTTCACCTCTGCTAAGGATGTGTCAGCTGCTGGGAGCAGAGCCCCCGGCCTTGGACCTCAGGAGAGATACCCAGAAGGGGAGGAGGAGAGGAGCCACCAAAGGGGATATCTTAAAAGAGTCCCAATTTTTAGTTCACACTTTAACCCAGGATGAGCTGTGCCCTGGCTGACCTTGGAGTTTCTTCCCTGGTCTGCTGGGTCTCTCCCTTAGAATCTAGGGGACAGCTTGGGCAGGGGAAGCCCAGGAGGTGATATGGGTTGGCCCTGTTCAGATGAGGGCTGGCAGGGGCAGCTTGGGCATAGGCAATGCTCTGATGGGCATGGGGGCTTTGAGGATGGGTTCTGAGTGTCCCTGCATCATGGCAGGGTGGCAAAGGGAGCATTTCCAAATTTCCTGGCTCCAGGATCTGTAGGAGAATCTCACTAACTGTCAGAGTGACAACCTCGGGTAGACGTGTCTGTGCGCTGCCCCGTGCCCTCAGCCTTCCTGTTAAGAGCACACCAGCTGGACTGGCAACTCCCAGTGCCTGCACCCAGTGGGCTTTCTCTGGCCTCTGGAGCCCACACTGCCCCTGCATGTGGCAGCCTGCAAGTGTCAGAGCCACCAGCAATTCCATTCCTCAACCATGACTGTGGGTAAAGAGCCCAGGAGCATCCCCCTCCTGGGATCGCTCCGAGGTGCGTGTGCCCCAGTGGCTCCCTGAGTTCCCAGCAAGATTAAGTGCCAGTAGCCTTAGTGGTCAGTTGCTTGATAACACCCCACTTCCTGGCTGCTCCCCCAGTCCCATCTGGTGTGTCCTGGGATCACCTCCCAAAGAAACTGCTTACACTTGAAGCCTTGTCTCAGGTCTGTTTCTAGGGGAATTCAGATGAAGACAATTGTGCTTCAGGAAAGCCTAAATTTTCTGCTCTTCTCTCCCCTACCCAAATCAGGACTTTTCTGGACACGCATACCCTGTGGCAACCTTTCAGCCCAGCAGACCAGAGTCCCTGAACGACTTACTCCTCTGTCCCCAAAAGGAACTGACCAGAGGGGTCAGGCCGACGCCTAGAGTCAGGGCCCCAGCCACCCAACAGGCAGGGTGGAGGAAGGACCTTGCAGAGGACAAGGACGAGGAGGAGGAGGAGGAGGAGGACACAGAAGATGGCGTCAGCTTCCAGCCCTACATTGAGCCACCTTCTTTCCTGGGGCAAGAGCACCAGGTTCCAGGGCACTCGGAGGTTGGTGGGGAGGACTCAGGGAGGCCCAAGGCTCCTCTGCTCCCGAGCGAAGGCTCCTCTGCTTGGGATTCTTCAGACAGAAGCTGGGCCAGCACTGTGGACTCCTCCTGGGACAGGGCTAGATCCTCTGGCTATTTGGCTGAGAAGGGGCCAGGCCAAGGGCCGGGTGGGGACGGGCACCAAGAACCTCTCCCACCACCTGAATTCTCCACGGACTCGGGTTTCCTGGAAGAGCTCCCAAAAGATGACCTCTCCTCCTGGGCCACCTGGGGCACCTCACCACCAGAGTCAAATCTGGTCCCTGGGGGGCCCCCAGTTTCTCTTCGGACACTGACCTTCAGCTGGGAAAGCAGCCTCGAGGAGGAAGAGGAGGAAGAGGAGGCGAGGGAATCAGAAACTGAGGACAGCGATGCGGGCAGCTGGGGGGCTGAGAGCACCCAGAGGACCGAGGAGAGGGGCCGGACACGGGGGTATTACATGGCCAGGTGAGCTGTCCCACGGCTTCCCACCGAATCTGAGGCTGCTGCCTTTGCGAGGACTACTGGGCTTCCCAAGAAACTCGAAAGCCTCCGTACCTTTTCTAGGTGGCGGAGGGGCATTGCACTTCCGGGAACCCCGCCTAGCGGCTGTTTGCCCGTTGGGCTGAGCAATAAGATGCCCCTCCCTCCTGTGACCCACCCGCTTTAGGCTGAGCTACAAGAGGAGTGGACACAGGGTGGCTGAGGTCGTAGGTTTGTGGGGTGTCATCACCCCCATTGTCCCTGGGGTGACAGGCCAGGGGGAAACATTATCCCTGGACAACATAAAACAGGTGAGCTCAGGTCACTGCGGACATCAAGGGTGGACACCACCAAGGGGCCCTCTGGAACTTGAGACCACTGGAGGCACACCTGCTATACCTCATGCCTTTCCCAGCAGCCACTGAGCTCCCCCATCCCAGGGCTCAGCCTCCTGATTCATGGGTCCTCTAGGTGAGGCCCAGATAAAACTCCAGTTGGCTGAGGGTTTTGGATGGGAAGGGAAGGGTGGCTGTCCTCAAATCCTGGTCTTTGGAGTCATGGCACTGTACGGTTTTAGTGTCAGACAGACCAGGGTTCAAATCCCACCTCTGCTGGTCACTGGTTTTGTGATCTTGGGGAAGACACCTTCCTTCTCTGCCTCACTTCCTCATCTGCAGCTTTGCCTGGGTGTGGTGAGGGTTCTAGGGGATCTCAGACGTGTGTAGCACGGAGCCCACTGTGTTCTTGATGCTCTCTACATGGTGGCTGGTAGAATTCTCCGTCTATCCAGGCTCCAGGAGACCCCTGGGCATCTTCCACCTGTGGCCCCTAAACCCAGAGTGACTGAGAACACTTACCATTCAGCTTGTCTCATCCCCAGTCTACCTCCTTCCTTCTACCCTCACTGCCTCCCAGTCAGGTGAGTGAGCTCTCAGAAACCAGAGTCCCACCCAAGGGGACCCTGGTCTCTCAGCCTTCACCCAGCAATGGGAACCCTGCTTCCCAGGGGAGGAACCAAGTGCTCCATCTTCTAGGGACCCAGTTTGTTGGAGTAGGACAGTAACGTGACAGGAATCGGACTTCTGGGCCCGTAATCCCTGTTTGGACAGCACGTTAGGCCCTTGGTTGACTACTGTGTTCCAGAGAAGTCCCATTCTCCCTTCTGGTTATAAGAAACCAGTGCCTTCTAGATTCAGGTGACTATCCTTACCTGGGGGTGCTCATGTATCCTCAGCTAACCTACACCCAGCAGAATATAGATGAGCACAGCTGAGTTTTCACCCGGAGGACCAAAGTGTTTTGTGGTGGAGGATCTGAACAACCTTGGCTCTGTGGCCATTCAACCTGCCAGGACTAACGTTTCTGGATTTGTGAAGAAGGGCTCTTCAAAGCCATTGAACCCAGAGAGCTGTGTTGTTTTAAAGCCACCACAAGGGTACAGCATTAAATGGCAGAACTGGAAAAACTTCTTAGGGCATCTCATCCAGGGCTTCTCAAACCATGTCCCCCAAAGGCCTTGGATCGCATTGCAGGGAGTGCCATGGGGCTATGGGAGCCTCCCATTTTCACCAGAGCAGCCTCACTGTGTCCTGATTTACATACTGTGGCTCTCCACGTAAGGTTTTGTTTAGAGGGCTTCCACTACTCAAGAAAAAGTTAGCAAACCACTCTTTTTGTTGCAAAGGAGCTGATGTCCATGGTGGCAAAAGCACTTGCCCCAGGTCACCCAGCAGTGCTGCTCTGAAGACTTATTGTGCACATCCCCAAGGGTTAGAGCTTCGATCTCTGCACAGCCGGGCCAACCTCTGACCCCTTGTCCATGTCAGTAAAAGACGAAGGTCACAGCCAGGATTTCTAAGGGTCAGGAGGCCTTCACCACTGCTGGGGCACACACACACACGTATACACACACACATACAACACACACCTGTGTCTCCCCAGGGATTTTCCCTGCAGTGAGGCTTGTCCACAAGATTGAGCTCAGAAGAGGAAGAACAAACAAACCACAGAGCTGGGGAGGGCTGTGGCTCGGGGCCAGCTCCCAGGGAAATTCCCAGACCTGGACCAATATTCTCTCTGGAACCAGCCGAGCTGCTTCGTGGAGGTAATTTCAAAAAAGTAAAAGCTATCATCAGCATCATCGTAGGCTTGTATGAAATAACCACTCCGTTTCTATTCTTAAACCTTACTATTTTTGTTTTGTTTTTTTGAGTTGGAGTTTTGTTCTTGTTGCCTCGGCTGGAGTGCAGTGGTGCGATCTCAGCTCACTGCATCCTCCGCCTCCCGGGTTCAAGTGATTCTCCTGCCTCAGCCTCCCAAGTAGCTGGGATTACAGGTGCCCACCACCACACCTGGCTAATTTTTTTTGTATTTTTAGTAGAGACGGGATTTCATCATGCTGGCCAGGCTGGTCTCAAACTCCTGACCTCAGGTGAACCGCCTGCTTTGGCCTCCCAAAGTGCTGGGATTACAGGCATGAGCCACCGCGCCCAGCCAAACCTTACTATTTTTTTTTAAAGAATTTTTTCCAGAGTTTAATTTCTGACATAGCTTGAGTTTTCCAGTAACTCTAAACTCCATCTCCTTTATCGTCATTAAGTCATTGACAAAAAGCCAGGAGAAGCTTAGGAAAGTGCATGATAATCAGTATGATAATTTGCCTTGTGTGGTCAGCACTTAACTGTTTACAAAGCCCTTTCACATGCACAGCAGGTGGGAACTGTGTGGTGTGGGCTGGGCCTGCACTGGAAGCACATCCCGTGAAAAGTGTTCGTGCCTTAGGTGAAGCAACATGTATCACTTTAGAGTACTAACAGTATATGTTGTTCTTACGTATTGGTATTTATTTCTATTTTTGCTATGTTTATGTCATATTTAAATGATATCCAACTGCTTGTTGGTATACCCTAAACTGTTTAAATAAAGAGCTCTATTTTTAAAGAAAAAACGTACAATTGAATGGAAAAGTGTATGCTCTTATCCTTTTGTGAGACAGGATCTCACTCTGTCACGTATGCATGCACCACCAGGCCTGATTGATTTTTTTGTTTTTGTAGAGATGGAATCTCCCTGTGTTGCCCAGGCTGGTCTCAAACTCCTGGGCTCAAGCAATCCTTCCCTCCTTGGCCTCCCAAAGTGTTGGTTGGGATTACTGGTGTGAGTGACTGTGCCTGGCCTATTCTCTTACTTTTCAAAGGCTCCTCACCTCTCCTCTGGGAAACCTAGCTGTTAAGACTACAAGGGCCGGCCAAGCAGGGTGGCTCATACCTGTAATGCCAGCACTTTGGGAGGCCGAGGCAGGCGGATCACAAGGTCAGGAGATCATGACTGTCCTGGTTAACACAGTGAAACCCCATCTCTACTAAAAATGCAAACAATTAGCCGGGCGTGGTGGTGGGCGCCTGTAGTCCCAGCTACTCAGGAGGCTGAGGCAGGAGAATGGCGTGAACCCGGGAGGCGGAGCTTGCAGTGAGCCGAGATCATGCCACTGCACTCCAGCCTGGGTGACAGAGCGAGACTCCATCTCAAAAAAAAAAAAAAAAAAAAAAAAAAACACTACAAGGTCTTGAGTTGGGTCCCCAGAAGCAAACCCAGAGAAAAGGTAGAAAGGTAGAAAGGTAGAAAGCAGTGCAGTGATCCAGGTAACGCCAGGAGGGGAGTGTGGAGGCAAGATGGGGTGGTGGGGGAGAAGGGCGGCCAGGCAAAGTGTGTCATCAACAGGTCCCTGCTGTGGGCAGCTGAACCTCAATGCCCCTGGAAAGCTCTGGAAGTCAATGTAGGATGCACTTCAGATTTGGTCCTCCTGCCAGGGGCAGGAGCCAGGGAATCTAGCTACTCCCTCCCATCAGTCCAGTGTGGAGGCCGTTCCCTGAGGCAGAGTTGCAGGTACTTGCATTTGGAATCCACCAAGCTGAGTGCACAAGAAAGGGGAGTGCCATGGGGCTGAGGGCAGGGTCCCCAGCCAGTATCCCTTGTTGCCGTGAGGCTGGAGCTGACGGCTCACCCAACTGCAACTATGGTCCATGAAAGGATATGGAACAGCACCTGTGTGACTAACCTTGCACTCCCAAACTCATTCCAGCGGCTCTCCATTAGCGAGGGTCTCCCAGTTTCCAGCGACTCTCATAAGACCACCTGGTGACTGTCTAGCACTGTGCCCACAGTTGTCACCACTTATTGGTGCCAGGGTATGTGCTAGACCCAAGCCTAGCTGATCCTACAAGTCCGTCTCCCTGGAATTCAGTAGTCTCCCTGGCTGGCTGGGCCTGGAGCAGGTACCTTCCAACCTGCCACGGCTGCATTTCCCAGTCTAAGGAACAGTCTGCAGACAAGACAAGAAAGCAGCCACTGCCACGTGGGCTGCCAAGACAAGAAACAGTAACCCCTGCTTCTGGTCCCTTCCCCAGGTGCAGCTGCACCCCCAGCCTCGGCTTCATCCCACCTTTAAAAATCTTTTTTTCGAGACAGGGTCTCTCTCTGTTACCCAGGTTAGAGTACATGATCTCAGCATCTCAGCTCACTGCAACCTCCACCCACCAGGTTCAAGTGATTCTTGTGCCTCAGCCACCCAAGAAGCTGGGATTACCGGTGTGCGCCACCACGTTCTGCTAATTTTGGGTGTTTTGTTTTGTTTTGTGTTTTTTTTGTTGTTGTTTTTTGTTTTGTTTTGTTTGAGATGGAGTCTCACTCTGTCGGCTCACTGCAACCTCCTCCTCCCAGGTTCAAGCAATTCTCCTGCCTCAGCCTCCCAAGTAGCTGGGATTACAGGCGCTCACCACCATGCCCAGCTAATTTTTGTATTTTTAGTAGAGACGGAGTTTTGCCATGTTGGTGTATGTATATGTATATATGTATTTTTTTTTTTAGTAGAGACAGGGTTTTGCCATGTTGCCCAGGCTGGTCCTGAACTCCTGGTCTCAAGTGACCTGCCTACCTCGGCCTCTGAAAGTGCTAGGATTACAGGAGTGAGCCACTGTGCCCAGCTAGTTT